ACAGGAAGGTCTTCTAGTCCAACCACCATGAGTGAATGAATGAATCTGGGAAACTTTAGTTGGGGTTGTTGTCATCTAATGACTCTATTGATGAGAATTATTGTGTGGCTCTCAATGTCATAAATAATAATGACATGCTCATGATTATGAATCTCAGGGTATATATGAAGTCAGCAGGGAATTAGGCAAAAAGCAACTATCTCCCCCTGGATGGGTATATCTATGCCTCCGACTATATTCTGTACCCAGTAATACTGTTGTTTCAAATACTTACCAATACAAACAAGGAAACAAAGGAAAATATAAAAGGAATAAAGAAGAAGGCATAAATACAAATCTTACAAAATAGAAAAGAATCTCATTTCCTTTACTTTTCCCCCCCTAAGGATGAGATAATAACATACAATTCTAACATCAAAGAATACACTGCACTTCAAGTTATAAGCTTCTGCCAACAAGTCTATTCTAACACTTAAAAGGCATGGAATTTTTCATTATCACCAAAAATGTTGATGGCATAAGCATCTATCTTTTACAATTCTCCCAGGTACACTGCAGTGAATATCAAAAGAAGCACTGAGAAAGAGGACTTTAGAAAAGAGAAGTTGTGTTGTCATCCATGCAGAGGTCTCAGTAGGAGGCATGTCTTAGCTATACTTTTTTCCTTGACCAAATCTCATCTTAAGGAAAAGTGAAGAAGAATTGCATGTAATAAAAAATGCGGGCTTACTACATGCTTACCATGAACATAGATATCACGAAGTTTGCCTTAACAGAACAGATTCTAGTTCCTCTCCTAATGAAGATTGTAATCTACACGTTCAATACAGGACTCTATTTTTGTAACAGGAATGACTATGATGACCTGTTTCATGATTAGTGATATGGAATGGAGTGAAAACATCCTATATAATAAAAGCCTAATATGCAAATTGACTGAACAGTGGAACAACCATGGAATGACCGGTTGTTATGACACACACTGACCACCAGGGGGCAGACACTCAAAGCAGAAGCTTCCCACAGCGTGTATGTCCTGACATGTGTTGGTGATGGGGGGCGGGACCAGCGAGTGGGCAGTGCCAGGCCAGTCACGCAGGTGCCAGCAGGAGGCCCCAATTGCCCTGCCAGTCACCCTGCAGATCAGCCCTGATCGCCAGCCAGGCCTAGGAACCCTACCCATGCACAAATTTCATGGACTGGGCCCTAGTTTTAAAATAAAGGATGTAATAGGAATAAGGACAATAAAACATATCAAGGCAAAATGGTGAATTTTATAAAGGAAGCAGGAAATATATATATAGACAATCTGTAGGATATGGTACTAGGGAAAAGTATGATCCATAAAAAGAAAATTTGATCAATTACACCTTAGGAAAATTAAAAACTTTACTCTGTGAAAGATCCTGTTAAGATGAAAAGAAAAATTTCAGACTAGGAGAAAATATAAGTCACATATCCAATAAAGAACCAGCATATAGGATATAGAAAGAACTCTCAACACTTACTAAAGGAAAAATCCAATTTACAAAGGACAAAAGACACACATAGATATTTCAGCAAAGAGGATATATAAATGGAAAATAATTTCATGAAAAGATACTCAATATCATTAACCACTAGAGAGATGCAAATTAAAACCACAATGAGTAACTTATTAGAAATGACTAAAAGAAAAAATTGTGTTAACACCAAATGCTGGCAAGGATGCAGGAAAACTGAGTAACTCGTATGTTGCTGGTGGCAGTGCACAATGGTTCAGCCATTCTGAAAAAGATTTCGGCAGTTCCTGACAAAACTAAAAATGGACTTAGCATACAAATGAACAATTGCACTCTTTGCATTTACCCCAGAGAAATAAAGACTTATTCCCATGCAAAAAGTTGTATATGAATGGTCATAGCAGCTATATTCACAATAGTAAAAAGAAAGGAAACTAACCAAATGTCCTTTAGAGGGTGAATAAACTGTGGTACGTCCCTACCATGGAATATTACTCAGCAATAAAAAGGAACAAACTATTGATGCATTCAATAACCTGGATGAACCTCAAAGAAATCATGTGGAGTGAGAAAAAGCCAATCTCAAAGGGCTATACTAGTGTACAGACTACATGATTCCATTTATAAAACATTCATGAAATGACAATTATCAAGATAGATGGGGAACAGTTAGTGGTTCTAGGGTTATAAACAAGGGGAGGAGATGGGTGAGTATCAACGGGGTAACGTAATGGATTCCTATAGTGGTGTTACAGCTGAGTATCTTGATTGTGGTACTGGTTATGCAAGGCAACACGTGTGCTATAGGTGAACTACTCACACATACAAATGAGTGTATATATATATATATACATAGCCAATGAAATCGGAATATACTGTGTGGATTCTACCGATATCAATTTCCCACATTATACTACTACATTTTTACAAGGTGTTAACATTGCAAAAGGCTGGATTATGGAATCTCCCTGGACATTTCTTTACAACATCATGTGACTCTATCCTGTGAATCTATAATTATTTCAAAACGAAAAGTTTAAAAAGGGGGGAGGGGGAGTGTGGGAAGCTGTAGAAGAAGGTTGAGCCACCTAAGGCAAAAGAGACTTAGGAAAAGAAAAAATTATCACTAAACGTTTTACCAGGAATGTTGGCACTCAGCATGTCGATTGCTTTCCCCCTGCAGAAAGCTCTGGGGGATGGGAATAATGCTAATCTACAAAATTACATGTTTAAGCAGAAACTTTCCTCTTGAAAAATTTGCTTCCCTATCCTACTCACTCATCCAAGCTACTATAATGACGGACGTTTCTTGAGGCTATCAATCATTAAGCCTGGCTGTTCATCAGCAGATTGTATAAAATCAATTTTACTTCCCCCAAATATACTCTTCCTCCAAGCTGTTTAAGTCAATCCAGACATATCGGCATTGGCTCACTGAGGCAGGTCAACTGAGTATTAGGCTGTTTTCAATTACACAGTTCTGCATCCCATTAAACAAAGAAAAATGCAAACCGTTAAGCATCCAAACTTCCTCTCTCTGCTCACTCCCTGTCGTTTTTTTAAAAAACAGATCACCCTTGTCTGTGGAATCTGAAGGATACACCCATAAGACAAATTTCAGAAAATCCGTTGTTTCTGAAATCAGGAAGAACACCTTTTCACCACCATTTCTGTTTCTTTTACCTGCTTCTTTTTAAAACTTTAGAGTTGTGGGTAACCACAAGTAAATACCCTGTCTTCATCCCCTAACAAAACTCCCACATCATTTGACCTCTAGGCTAGCACATTTGTTAAGAAAAAATGTATAATATACATTCATCAACCATATTCAAAATTAATCTCCTGCCTTCGGAACTGTGATCAACTACATCAATGAGTTATGGACAATGACGGTGAGTGTTTGAGTGAACATTTCTTGAAAGGCCCCTTTCAAAGAATCCATAAGGTAGTAGTTCCAGAGTCAACTTACAGCTCTATAATTGTGCAATAATGTTTAAATCATAAAAGGCTTATTAGCTCATTATAATCCCACCTTCACATGGGATGCAATGTCCCATTAACGCTTATTTAATCTGTATTGCACAACTATGACTGGAAGGCATCCACTCCTGATTAAAGGTATCCCCCTCTCTCCAGCTTCCTGAGCCGGTCGGCCACCTGCGCCCAGTGCGGTGCAGAGCACTTTACACCAGAAAGCCTATTTTAAAGCAAAATGTGCACAGTGGATTAGGAGCAGGTGTAGACCAACGGAACTAAATCAACTCTGCTTGCAGGAGTTCATTTCTAAGTATTTCAAAATGCCACATCTTGCAAATAAAATCGACCTTTTCATTTGACATTCTCTTAAGGGAAATGAGATTTTAAAGATGTATTTCCCAACTATTTTTAATTCTAAATTCCTAAGAATGTGAAATTATAAATGGGCTTTAAAGAAAATGCAGTGATTCCCCAGCTTCCATTTACTCTCAGCATTTTTAATTGCAATTTTTCCTCAATGTACACAAAACAAACACACAGACACACATACAAAATTTCTTCTTTCCAACATGGTTTCTATACTCAAAGGTGGAGATTAAGAACACAAACTCCCTCATCTAAAAGTGAAATTTTTATTAGTACACCACTGTAAAACACCTATGAAATGTCCCCCCATTTAACTTTATAGCAAAGAGTACACCTCAAATCAGAAAACATGGAACATAGACAAATACCAGTGATTCTGGTCAGGTGGCCATATTTAATTAATTGCTTTAAACAAAAAAATGACAAGTCACTTGTCATGTTCTCCTCTTGACAATCCATCATGCTAACTGTAGATTGCTTCTGTGCATATATTTGCTTTTCCTTCCTCTTTTCTCCTTTTTGTCAGTTTCGGTTGTGGCTCCTATATTGTGGGATTCACTCAACAAGCCAAACTTCTCCCTTTCCTTTTCTATTCATATTATTTTCTTAAAAATCAACCACCTAGCCCAGCCAGTGTAGTTCAGTGGTTGAGTGTCGACCTATGAACCAGGAGGTCATGATTTGATTCTGGTCAGGGCACACGCCAGGTTTGTGGGCTCAGTCCCCAGTGTGGAGTGTGCAGGAAGCAATCAATGATTCTCTCTCATCATTGATGTTTCTCTCTCTCTCCCACTCCCTTTCTCTCTGAAATCAATAAACATGTTTTTTTTAAAAATCAACCACCTATTAAAATTTCTTAAATTGTCTATGCCTATCCAAATGCTACATAAAGTACACCAGCCTTGGCGCCCGGCTTGGGAAGGCAGCCGCAGGCCCCATCGCCCGCGGTCCCTGCAGCGCTGGTGCGC